AATCGCACCGACGTATTACCAACTCTTACTAAAGGCTACCTTGTAGGGTCTTTGATTGGCAAATAATTGCTTTAATTCTGAGCACAACTAGGTCAGAGTGCTCAGTTGGCATAAACAAGACGAAATCGCTAATTTCAATCTCCAATTCAGTAAGCAGCAACACCAAAATGCAATATTTTAACCAGCACATTTTACTTTTCCCGACTGATGAAAGTACCGCAGTTGAGATAAAAAGGCAAAGAGATGGAGAGATCCTGCATCTCAGTTTATACGTAAGAAAAAGACCAATCTCCCTGTCCTCATCACCCCACTCCGTCCCACTGCCTTCTAAAACTGTCTGCACGCGCTGCATACGCCACCTGCACAGACTTTTGAGTTAGCCTCCCTCCACCCTTAATTCGGTGCGCCGCTTCTGCGCTCCTCACTGCCTCAACGTCTGCGTCAGTGTCGGTGTCGCATAGCCCTCACTCTCGTCTCTCTCTCGTTCCCTCGCACTATCCTAATCTACTCACTCACTGCTCGTTAGTGCGTTCGTTCGCCCATCCCTACCCAAACCCCATACCTCCCCTCTTTTCTCCGCTCCGCTTTGCTGTGTGTGAGTGCGCAGCAAGGGTAATGTTTTTCTCTTTGACAAAGCGCCTCTATCCCTACTCTCATATCTCCATCGTCCATGTGCCCAGACAGGGCTTTTTAAATTAACCGCTCTGGATTCATTCGGCTTCCTCTCCAAAGGCCAGCTGGACCACGCGCATCGCCTAGCGCCTTAATACCACTCCAACATGACTGCACGTAGGACCATTTTAAGATGACCCTAGGTGCATCAAGTAGGTAGTAGTAAAAAAAGTGCTCTTCAAAAGACGCAGACACCAAAATCATCCACCTAAAAAGGCGTTTTGAAAACATTCTTCACGAACTACAGAAATAACAAACAAGTTGTTATAATTCATGGGGTATTTATCGGTTTATGGCGTTAACTGCGTCGATATGGCAGGCCTCAAACAATGGTGAGAGTATGTGTGAGGTGATAATAATGAATGGCTAGCTTGAAAACTTGATGCAAGGTAATAGCGAATTCAACGCACATCAAACAAGGCTTGTAGTCCAGGTTTCCGCCAGGCAAAGTGATAATTGTCCAATCACTGTAACCACGAAGGGAATATGAACACCATGGCGGACTAAATTGCCGCCTGCAATTCCCTTTCTTATTAGTTTCTGTAACAACTTTTCGAGACAGAATGAGCAGTTGCTCAAGTACAGGGAAGTAGGTGCCAATTGATGGTGGTTTAACATCAATTTTAAAAGTTGCTGCCAAATGAATGTCTACGGGTGCAACAGGTTTGTGTGCACTATTGGAGCAGTCTGAAGAGACATGACATACCTGTCGACAATGTCGAATTATGTCGGCTCCGCATTTGTAGTCACTAACAGTACGACCGAGCACCCAACGTCTTGGCGTGGTAAAGACGCATCGGTTGGTGATTGTTGACACCATTGAGTAGTTCCAGACAGTGATCTGACCATAAAAGAATCAAAAATCGGTATCAACATTGGTGGAGTGACAATTGGCAAAGTAGAATTAGTTGCTTTTATGCACAAGTGATAGGAAATCACGATCTCCTTCCTCAATGGCTAGGATGGCAAAATACGAATTTGTGTGTATAGATGCAGGGTTTCGAAAGAGTTGTCTACTAGTGTGTGGAATTAAAACGGTTCGTTGGGGACTCAAAATGAGCAGACACCTTTTGAAACATTAGCAACCAAAATTCAACTGTTCGTGCCTGCAATTCGTATTTGTAGTAATGAGCTTGGATGTCGTAATGTTACAACATTTATTAGTCTTTAAATTGTATTGTAGCTGCTCAGATGACAGCGAATTCTAAGAAATCCGAAAATTTAAAGTCAACTTACCACTCCCAGATAATCTGTGAAACCGTGCCAACACCTCAATGAACGTCAATTTTGTGTTCAAAGTTTAACAGAATCCCGGCTAGACATGCGATTTTGTTGTGTCTGAATCCCGACTTCACTTCTTTATTGCCTCCTTTCACAGAGGGTAAATGTGCCGTTAGTGTGAGGTAAATGCTACAATTGTAGACTGCTTTTTGCAAAGGTAGGTTGAATGGGTGCGTGTATGTCTGAGGGGGTTTTCTCAGATGTCGTCAAGGAGAGCATTTTGAGGATTCCCATCTGTTTTCATCCTCTGTAAGAGGAGCTTGGCAGAGGATAAGGCCACAGAAGTGCAAAATAATTACTTTTATATGATTGTGGACAAAAGCGTAAAATGATATGTAAAAGAACCATATTTTGACTGATTTTTCATTGTCTCTCCCTAAAATGTCGGGAGTTGATGTTAGAATGGTCAATTTTAGAGTCGTGAGAGTGGAGATACATAGGAGGACCAGGATTGCAGAGACCCGTTGCTGCTGTTTTTTATGTCACAGCGTCGCTTCTTTAAACGACACGCGTGCCTACGCCCGCACGCCTCTCTTATCTAAAAGCTTTTTTTCTCGCCCATCACTCTGCTTTCTTTGGGGAGTGCGCGTGTGCACACGCACACACCCACACACACAGGGAGTTTGTCTTTTAACAACTCACCGCCTCGCCTTCTTCGAGAGAGGGAGAGAGAGCAAGTTAGCTAGTGAGCAAATTAGTGTGTGTGTGTGTGTGTGTGTGTGTATAGCAGAACAAACGAGCAGCGAGCGAGCCAGCGAGCTCTCTTTCCGAGGATGAGCACCACACTCGCACGCGACTTCAGGAAAGTTTTCTGTGTACGCGTGCACGCATCTCCTTTTTTCCACTCTTCTGTGTGTCGTCGTTTTTGTGTGTTTGTGCGCGCTTAGGCGGTAAAGAAAAATGTCTCTCAATCGTTTGATCAGACTTTTGCCAACCGCCACCGCCTCCACCTCCACTAACTCCGCGATCCACAGAAGGAACGAGTGGCGGACTAGGGGTGAAAGGGTTAGTAGCTAAAAAAAGTGGTGCACGCCTAAAATTTTATCAAAATGTGGGAGAACTATTTTAACTCTCTCCAGCCAAACTGTATCGTGCCAAGGATATAGGTGACATTAGGAAGGGCCATAACTATGGTGGTGCAATCGGAGAAAATGTGCTCGTCACGTCCATGACTGTAACTCAGTAAGGTGGTTATATTACGACTTTGAGTTGATTATGACACATTCTTTAAATAACATTCCTTCATTCAGGAGGAACATTTTTCGCGTGCCACTCCAAAATGTAGTGGGCATGACCCAACAACTTATGCATGGCTGTTGACTAACACCATCTATTAGGCAATGCGCCATAGAAATTATGCTGGAAGCAGCTTATTATTACCTCAAAATCAAAGTACATCTGCATAAAGCTATGTCCAACCGAAGCGTTATAGAGTGCTCTACATAATTAAGAATGAACAAGGTGGAAGGGAATGCATTTGAGTCGAGATGTCCCTGTAGTCCTCTAGGAATTTTCCTTGGGAATGTGCGTCCATTTAGTTAAAACAGTGCAATCTATGTGTTGAGGGACGTAGGAGACCCTTGTCACCATCAGTATTATTATTCGGTCCACAATGAAGCCGCACGTATCTGTAGCAGTGGCGCCCACGGACAAATCAGAGTCCTCCGACTCCTCCTTCACCAAAACAAGGAAAATCTCTTGGTCTTCATTGATGAGATGAAATTGTTTTGGAAATAATGACTACCAACTGAGTTATCCATACACTTAAGAGATTAATTCACGTTTGTTATTTATCCTCTATGAGAGTTGTTGATATGCGTTCGACCTAAAGCTAATTTGGAGGCGTACTTGGCTTCTGATGGACTCCGGATTTTCCCCTAAACATGCACACTGCGAAGAAAAATGGCGGATCCACTTATGCCTCGAAAGTGGACTGACGTGTTTTGACAATGGCACATGCGTGATTGTTGAAATCTAAACCATAAAATGCCTCAAAAACCTTTATTTTTCCCATACTTGCTCCTCATTCTCGCTAAAACTGGTAAGCAATTGATGGTAAGTTCTGACAGCAAATGACTCTCCTTTACCTCAAATAAAGCAAAAAGCCTAAAAGACGCTTTGCTTTGCCACATTCTTGCTACCAGAATACACTTACCAGTACGGCTACTATTTGGCAAATGTATGTTGAGAAGCAGAGGAACTTAAGCACTTCATAGTGTTTGACATCAAAAATGGAAGAGTTTGGTGGATGGTTATTAACTGCGTTTATGTTAGGGAACGGAGGCCATTGTGTAGTCATTGCCATACACACTATCATTCCTTATAACGAAGAGCCAACTCTTTAGGGCAGAAGAGGGGGTTGTATGAGTGATAATGGCATCTTCTTCCCAATTCGCGCCTCAATTGTTAGTCCTCCGCATTGGCAACGGACAGGTAGTTAGTGGGAGGGTCAAAAGATTTACAAAACACAAAACTGTTGACAGCTTTCTCGATTTGGCTACTGATGAAAGCTCATTACGGCAAAAATGATGAAGCATTGCCAAGGCATTGCAGCTACTTGGCCTAAGCGCCGAATCCCATGGTTTGGTGTACCTTCCCTGACCAAGCACTGACTCATTTCCATGATGATTTGGCCACACCAGTCGATCAAAGGCAGCACACTACTCTTACTCGAAATGGCTCCATTATAACCCTTCCTTATTAGTTTAAATGAAATCAGTGTCATCTTTTCAAAGCTGTGAGGAGACATTGAGAATTAAATGACTTGCTCCCATTTTTGACCAGATTTTCTTATGCACACATGAAATCAGTGTCAGTAAATCTAGAGGTGAGGGTGGAGTACGAAATCATTGTTTTTCATTTGTCTTTCTCATTTTTATTTATCTGAAGCTCTCCATAAGGCCTTATTAACAATTCTCGCATATATAAGCACTGAACTTTCGCGACTGATCCTTTAATTTTATTATTCACGTCGATCCCCTTTAAATATGCGGCTACTTATGTTCGTGTGCACAACCCAACACCTAGGAAATATCGTAGTGGGCCAATTACAGTAAAATAATGAATTTCTGATAGAATTCTGTTTCCGGTCTCAACTGCGCGACATCGCCGCGTTCGTCTTTAGTGGAGAGATAATCTATCACGGAGGCGGAGGAGGTGGTGGCGGCGGCTGTCTGTGTGTCGCAACCCTGTTTGATGTTGGACGCGCTGCCTCGACAATTCTCTTTGTCTGGATCGTGGCGCTCCAACGCAAGAATTACCGCCCTTCGTGAGGGCAGCTGGAGAAGGCGGTAAAGGAGGGAGAGGAGGTGTGAAACCTCTTTGTAACAAAGCGTCTACCTTTCTTTAAGTTGGCTTCGGATATAGACACCTTTTTGTTTCTCCCATAGGCTGTCAATGCAATTATATTAAAGTAGCTTAAGGCTCTTGCAGGAAAAGCAACTACGTCGCGGTTCATCTGCTGTGCTATATTCAATGGCAATGTCGATTGACTCGAGGTGATTTGGATTGCTCGGGTTACATCTTCCATTAATATATCGCAAGTGTAGAACACTTCTGTTAAACTCTAATGTTGGAATGGTGCATCGCATTGTTTTCCACCACCCATTGTGGGCGCTCAGAGCCGACTTCTGGTTGAGCAAATAAAATGAGGTGTGAATAGCGTACATTAGTTCTACACCATACCTCAGAAACAGTTAGGAGTTAGACAGCTATGAGCAGCTTCATTAACATCTCTTTCAGACTAAAAAGTGCTACTTCTGTTCTCATGCTGGTTCGATGCCGTATTGCTTAATTGCACGATTCCATTAATAATACCTTCAGAGAAACTTTGTTATAGAGATTACCGAGGTAACTACGATTGCAAATAAAGTTTATTACAATTGTCTTCCCCCTTCCCTGTACTAGACTTCTAACCAAATGATGCCCAACTAATTTCCAATTTATTAACTTTCCACCCTAGCTGCTGAAAAAAATGCATGGTCATTGGAACCAATGTGGTGGAAAAATGCCATTCAAATGGAAATGTACCTCCTAACGATTCGTGCGTAGCAATTGTGCACATGAATCCACCATCCTGCCTCGTGAGCAGCAGTTTTGGCTGTTCATACGAATCCTTCCCCTAAACCTCGGTTTGTAATTGTGACCATGACGTTTTGAGACGTGAATGTGACCGTGAGAAAGCACTACACTGAAACACAGAGGATTCTCATAGTAATGTTGAAAAAATATTCCTAATGTAATGGATGCTCCTTGCCAATATATTCCATTACAAATTTGCTGACGAACATAGAATTGAAATGCTTGCACTTCAATGCTGACCAACGCGAATGATCAGAATCTCAGCCGACAAATGAGGTGAAACCTGGTGGGTCGACGGCCATTTGTTTGATTGAGGATCCAATGCATGTCGCATGTACCACAAGCATTCCTGTAAGCAGAACTCATTAGGAATCCCTTTTTGGATTCCACAAGCGCCATCACAAGGTAACAGTTGCTAGTCCTCTTTGGGGAGAGGGCACAAGGTGCGCGCACCCAGGCGGGCGGGCGGGCGGGAGGGCGAGCTAGCCAGCGAGCGAAAAGAACTGAATGGGGTGGAGAAGGGAGGCGGAAATCGTGCATTCGATGAAAAGACGGTGCCGACACACACAAGGTTGCAACATGTCGGGAATAATAAGCAACGTTAATCAAAGAAGTTTCTTTTCCGTGGGAGATTGGCAGATCGACTTGAAGGGGAGCACAAGGAATTCTGTGACACAGAAACGCCGTTTAAAGTTTTGAGATGCTTAAGAGAACGGAAATGTTACAGTCCTATAAGAAACAGTGGTGAATGTACCTTTTTTGTAAACCAAAAATTAGACTTTTAATGCGGCTAGCCATTGTTCAAACCGGAGCTCCAAGGCGACATTTAACTTTACCCAGCAAACCTTAAAGCAAGGTCAATATTGCAAAATTTTAGACACAAACACTTAACCATGCCTAATGAAATCTCTCTGGAAAAGAACATGTCATAAACTCATATTACGATAGCTATTAACTTTATCAGCTTCAATAATCATATTTTCTATATTTTCCTTTAATGTCAAATTCTTCCAGAAGCTCCTGAATATGGGAACTTCTATTTGCGAAGCGCGCTATCTCTTGCAAGTTTATTTGATGCAGTTGACATGGCTTTGGCGGATTACGATTATTATTTAGTCGTTAGGTAAGAAAGACCCACATTTTTGGTATCACCTGGCAAGACAAGCCTTGATTTGTGTGTTCCGTACAATGTAACCATTGTAATGACAATTTTGCATCGTTTGGCCAAAGACAGTTGGGAATCCTTTGCCTCCAAAGTGCTTCAGATGAAGCAGTCCCCATCGCGATGTTAACCAATTTACTCCGCGGATTGCAACAAAGTTGGTTTCTCATCAGTCTCCTGTAGCAACCATTGAATGAAAGGTGAAGTAGACACCAGCACATTGAGAATGTATTTTTGACAGTTGAGGTTTCATGTAACCGCTACATTTTGAGGCTTCCAAGCTCGCCTAAACTTACTCCTTAATTCACGGTCACTTTAAAAATGCTAAGTAAACAAGGAAGCAACATGAGTGACTGAGATAAAATAATTCTGAAGTGCAAAATGTTGTCCATTTACGAACAAAAGTATTTTCAAAAAAAACCCCTTTTATTCAAAAATATAGTTTGATTTTTATGATTTATCAATCGAAGGAGACAAAGTTAAAGTACCAAAGATGTTAAGCATCCATTTGAAATAGTCGAATGTCAAAGAACAATTCAAAGAGATTCAAGACTCAGACGCGTCTGGTTCAACTTCTGCCGCCTATTCGTTTCTGCAGTTTTGCCTCATAGTGTTATCCGGACAGCTTGGACACATCAAGCAGTGATCATTGTCAGAAAACAAACTGATTGTTTTGTCATTTCTATAGCGTTTCTTTCTTCTCCCTCTCAAATGGCAAAAAATCCACCCTTTCATCTCCTCATTGGGGACTATTGACTTTGAGCATCTGTCCACTGTCTGCTTCCACACTTGTACGCACGCACCCACGCACACCGTATGTATGCATGCATACAATTTCATCAACTGTACCGGTGAATGCGCGAATAAATTGGTGCAGTGTGTGTCGCCTGTTGAATAGTGTCTCGTTTTATTTTTAGTGAATTTCAGCGAATAAATGGCTATGTTCATGTCCACGGCAATGTTTGGATGCATACCTCGGAGAATGGATGTGTTTACTTTCGACCCTACACATCTTTCCCTTGTTCTACCTCAACTATGATATGCTATCGCAACTAGCAGTCGCTGCTTTGTCCTGGTACATAATTTTTTTAGTTATTCAAACCACTTTATCCAGACGACTGCCTCTACAAAGATAAAATCGACTGAACCATTTACCTTCATAAGGCAGCCTGCGGCAACATCTCATCTTCTTCCCAAAGAGATTTGGTCGAGAGTGTGTTGTCACGTCCGCTACTACACGTAAATGCAAACGTTGGCTGGAGTTAAATGCAAAGAAATCACATCATTCCGACACAGAGTCACGTATTGCATCAAGAGGCCCAAGCATTCATGAGGCTGCACCCACACCCATCCATCCTGTTCTTCTATCCACAATCAACGATGAAAAGCAGAACAGTTTAAGCGTACACGTCTCATTGGGGGTTAAAATACCAGAAAAATTGGACAGTCACGCTTTTATTTACTCTCACATCACTTCAAGGATCTACACTACTCGTAATGTTTGCAAGGGTTTTCACAGTAAAAGTAAGCCATTTGTGATCAATGAATATTCATTTCCTATTATGAATCAAAGCTTTTGTGCGCCAAAAAAATTGGAGTTTCCCAACTTTAATGCTTCGCTTAATGAGGTGTTAATGCTAATGTTTTTGACAAAACAAAGCTCAATCCATAGGACTTGATATGACGATGCAAACACTGGTGATTGCAAATTCGTGTCACAATGGCGTTTATCTTTTTACTTCCAGTAAAAGTTTATTGTTTTCTTTGTATTGCAAGTTGTCAGTGTGTCTGGATGCGATCGTTAAGAGGACGCACGACAGAGTAAATGAGTACAAAATTCAAAGAATTGTTTCACCTGTTAGGGGCGTTGCGTGAGCCGTCTTCAGCAAGGCATCTGATTAAACAATAGGCGAAATCCTTAGTCAAGTGAAGCCAGCGGAAGTCTGAAAGAGGTTGTACAAGAAAATAAAGAACAATGTCGGTGTCCTAACCGCATAAAGGTGATAACATCTAGCGGATGTGAATTGGGGTATGGAAAATAAGCAAAAAAGTGATAAACTCAAGTGTGCACGCAGGAGTTTATAATATAACTTAAAGGCTGACTAATATTAGCATTAATCACTTCACATACTGTGTGGACAGTTCACCTTACCAAAGACTGAGTTCTGCGTTGGTTTAAGGTGTCACCGCAATTTGTCGCCATATTTGCTGGAAAACTAAATGGTCTCTTGGACGCAACGACGAACATGATCAGAAAGTGGTTCATTTAGTGTAAAGTTAAAGTGTACTTCAGATGCAGAACTCGTGCCAAGGTGCATACAAGGCGAAAGAGAGCCACATTTAGGTGGAGTGGGACGGGGACCACTACGCACGCTCATACACATAGTGTGTGCACGAAAATACAAGGTCCCTCATCCCTTCATTCCTGTCTTTGGTTGCACCCCAGTCAAAGAAGTTGACTGTGCGTGCTGTTGCTCCAGCTGCCTTCTTTCGCCTCTATGCTAAAAGTCTAAGCGAAAAAACGCACCCATAAATGATACTCCTCAAATTGCTTTCTTCTGTACTACCTGAATGGTATGATTGCATACTTTACTAGCTAATGTACACGTCCTTGCTAAATCCACTAATAGCAATTAAAGAGCAGGCACTTTCACAGTACCGCACTTACAGGTGATGTTAAGGTAGAAGGTTAAACACTTACTGTCTTGGGTGGACCTACGAGCAGGTAAGTGACTGTCCTGAGATTTCTTTAACATCAGCAAGAACCATTGGAAAGGCCTCCTCCACATAGACTACTAACAGGAGCATTTAAGTCGACAATACTTCCTTAAATCCACACGCATTAGTTAGACAAGCGTCTCGGTTCTAAACTTCATAGGCGAAGCAACCAGTGAGGCATGGCATTCGTTCAGCCTTTGCGAGCAATAAGTGAAGTTAGAAGTGATCTCAGACCTGCACATTCGAACTTCCATCCCTTCCACATACTGTTTGAAATTAAATGTCAAACTTTAATGAAGCCTTTTATGTAAACCTGATATCTCACCCAAATCCTTTGTCCAATCAAGAAGAAAAGTTGAGATATTTGCTCGTAAAAATATTAATTTTGGCATAATTCAAACGGGGTGAGTGGGTGAGAACCGACAGGACGGGGCAATGGATAGAAGTACACGTGGTATCGTCATCGATGTTGTCATTTCAGTGATAATACAGTAAAACCAAAGCTGAAGGAAGAAATTGGAGTGCAAAGAAGAGATGAAGGGGAGTGAGAGAGTGACGAAGAAATGCAGCAAATTAATGTGATGCGCATGAAAACACATTGAATCATGTTTAAATATTTTGGCGCTGATATGAACTCTAGACACCTGCTGTCTCCATGGCCGCAGATGAGGTATCTTCCAGTCTCGATTGGAAGCCGCCGCCACTGTTCAGACGAAGATCAGTTGCGCCTGAGTGATAGGGTGAAGGGTAGGATGAGGATGAGGAGGTGGTGGTAATACTATAGTCATTCTCGTGAAACGATCGTCCAGCCGAGGAAGCAGCAGAATTGAGTCCACCAACAGGGGAGTGTTTGGGATGTGGTGAAGGCTGATGAAAGGATTTAGCCCCACTCCCGCCGCCACCACTACCACCGCCATGAGAACTCGCTGGGCTGCAGGAGGAACGGTCCTCGACTCTAGGTGGCGCCCCAGGAGAGAGATTCCGTTCAGTCGAAGGCGGCGGTGGTGTGGAAAACGGAAGTGACAGTGGAGACCCAGCGTTAGCAATGGAAGGGGGTGGAAGGAGGGTTGGTGAGTGTGCAGAACGTAATCCATTTTGAGCGGCAGCGGCTGCAGCAGCGGCGGCAGCGGCAGCGGCAGCAGCAGCGGCCTTTGCAGCTGCTTTCTCTGCAGCTCTCCCACCTGGACCAATCCACATTGTCATCCCGGCCATCAAGGCAGAACTGGAGCTTGATCTACTCTGACACATGCGCCTTTGATGAGAAATGAGGCTGTACTTCTGTCGGAAAGCTTTGTTGCACCGGGTACATTTGTGTGGTTTCTCTCCAGTGTGAGTGCGCAAGTGCTGCACTACATGGCTCTGCTGACGGAAGAGTTTGCCACAGATACGACAGCCGTAGGGTCGCTCACCCGAATGGACGCGCATGTGAGTGGTTAGCTGGATCTTCTGCTTGAAGGCCCGGCCACACTCAGGACAGGGGTAGGGTCGCTCGTCGGTATGTGTACGCAGGTGCTGCATCAGACCTGCCTTCACCGCAAAGCCTCGGCCACAGGTGGTGCAGCGGTAGGGTCGCGAGGCATAATCTTCAGTGCTGTTTTTTGTATTCTGGGACTCTGGACTATCCGGAACACCGTTATTCTTGGATGGTAGTGAGGTCGGTGGCGCAGATGGTGGTGGTCCAGGCGGCGCAGGGGAGTTGAGGTTGAACATGTCCGGAGGGGGAAAATGGAAGCCAAGAGCAGCGGAAACAGCAGCAGCGGCGGCACGGGCAGCGTTAAATGTATTGGTAGGGAACTCCTCCGAGGGCAAGGGGGGTGGCGGAGGGGGCGCAGGTGCTGGTGGCGGAGGGAGGTGTTGGGAAAGTTTGTGTCCTTGTTGATGGTTTGAATGGTAGGGATGCGCATGGCTGCTGTTTGTCTTAGACGTCGCACATGATATGTCGTCAACCATGCACCGAACAGCCTCCTCCACGGTGGTTGGAGGTAGACGCTGAGTAGTTGGCGAGATTTCGGACTTAATTCTAAAATGTAAATGCTTATTTTATAATGATAGCGATTCTTTGCGGAAATACCACCAAAAATTAGAACCAACATAAGTTATATTCATTGGATCTATCATATAGGCCACACATTCGACATCTCGGAACTCTATACCTCAAAATGTGCCCAAGATATGAGGGCACGTAGTATACACTTTGTATGACAGTCTGAATAATTATGTGCTTTGTTCATTTACACATTGCTCATGTTGAGAGGTGATGATTTAACAATTATGCCACAGTCCATATTCCATCTGTGCAATAAATGGCTGAGGCTGAGAAAACCTTGTTTTGTCAGGTTGTGATTTCTCACAAAGAATGAACTGAAAAAGGCAAGTATATCATAAAAAAACATTTCTTTGATAGCAGTTTGGTCGAATTTTTGTGACTCCAGTAAACAATGAACAGAAAATCGACAAAGTTACGTCACGACCACAATAGTGATATGGAAGAAGATGGTGGGACCAGCTGTTTTAATTTGTGATGAGAGCACATCTTACTTCAAATAAACATTTAATATTATCAAAAAAATAAGAGAACAACAAATAACTCCTCATTTAACACCAAATCAAACTATAAAAGTCTACCAAAACTGATTTTGCTCTATTCACCTACAAACCTATCTCACAAACAGGCAAGTCGGCAGACAACGTGGTCATATAACTTGTGCGTCTGGAGATTAAGTCGCGGCGATAATTACGGGTTGGTTGGGAAGTCTGGCGGCTTCTATATTTTCTCTCTCTCCCTCTCGCTGTTTGTGCGTGGCTGTCTGACTGGGGAAAAGTCCTCCTCCATTTGTGTAGCTAGGCCCACATACACACGCCCCAAAAGCGCAGACACTACCTCCAAGGCAAATACACACACAGACGTAGATGCACACGCACACACTGTCTGGTTCGCGTGTCTGTACGCTCGCCGACATGTCCTTTTGAAGTTGATAGGAGGAAAAAGAACTTGGATGAACACAAATGTGAGACCATACTGATCGAACGCTTCCCCCTTCCCCATTGTTGGGTTGTACAAGCAAGTGATGATCTCGGTAACCATCATGCTTGCATGCGGAATTCGCTCCAATCCATTGGGCTCGCCAAGTTATACAATCCTGGGTGCGCATTTTCCAGGATTTTTTGAACATATCCATGCCATTGTAAACCCACAATGGGGTAGAAACATCAACATTGTAATATTAACACTTATTCTACCAAGTATCCTTCTGCCACTAATTTGAAGAAACACGAGGTCTGTCGTATCAGAAAGTGATCAATGTAGAAGTGTGCCCGTGTCAACCACTATTTTCGTAATTGCTTGGCCTCGAGTGAAGATTTGGACGATGCACTGAGGTTGGCATACCCGTGGGTGTGCTAATGTTTGTATTAAGCAAGCTGGGGAGGGTTTGAAGATTTCTATCATGATGAGAGCAGAGCATTGCAAGCCCTTGCTTCCGTTCTGTTCGAGGCTTAAAGTTAGGTTTACATGTAATCACTTCAGTCCTGATAATTTTAACAACTTGCTCAACTATATCAATTTTGTATATCGCAGGTTTTTGATCATTTTAGCACCGAACAACCGATTTTTCCTCTATGATGATCAAAATTGTCCAGTCAGCAGACTTTCCACAAAAGAGGAAACTGAAATTCTGTTGAAAAGACTGCCATTTTAAGTAGAAGGGAGGAGATTAGAACCGCCTTCCACGCGATAGTCACTTAAACCTCCAACACACATAAAATGGCGGGTTTAGATTAGATTGGTTGGAATGATTTTACGAATAGAATGTCAAAATAGCAAACATGTTTACACCTAAGTACGAGCAGATCTATGCATGGCAATCAAAACCAACCGACTGTATATCAAATCGCAAAAAAATGTAACTCGTTTAATGCAATAGCAAGACTATAAAAGTATCATGAACCAAAGGACTTGAAGTGTTGTCGCAAAATGTTTCGGTAAAGGTAAGTTAAAGTTCGCGGAAGTGGAATTGGTAGCATAGAAGAAAGAGAGCCTATTAAATTTAATACTGATATCATGAAATGGGAGGATTAAGGTAAGGCTTTTTGGCGGGACAGTTGGGGACGCAAGAAGAAGTCTGCGATGCTAGGGGGACTGTGCACCAGTTAACGGATAGTTGGAGTGCGGCAAAAAACGGAGAGGAAACGCGACTGGACATACAAAAGGCTCCACGGATGGTGACTTCCACTGCTTTGCGATTGCATACACGTAGATACACCGCTCACATATTGGTAATCAAGCGAAAGAAAGACTGATAACTCTCACCCACAGCCTCACGGGAATCCCTTCACAGGCAATGTAAAACCAGTCCGCCTCGGATTCTGACCCCGAGACGGATGTCCGAGAGGCCTAGGACAGACAGGTGGCCCTGGTTCAAACAGTTGTTTGAATTTGTGAATATTTGCATGTTTTATTTTGAACTTGAGCGTCACATAAGGGTTTACCTAATCACCGCAATGAATAGTCTATAACTTTGCACGACATTTATCACGAAGTAGTCTTTAACAAAACATGCTTTTTGGCCCTTAAGGGTGCAGAATTTGCTTCGCTAATGACTAAATTTCGCTACTGTGTTATAAATAATCCGATTTTGAAAGGAGACAAGCAGGCGCTGCATGAATACAAGGAAAAATATTCGAAAGCCATTCTCATATACAGCACAAGAAAGAGGGAAGTGAAATAATTATTGCGTATATTATTGTGCTTTCTACCTCTAAATGGACATGAGGAAAGGCAATCACAGGTCGCGAACGTGTCTGGCCTTTAGGCCTCCCTTTCAAGGGGAATGTGTGCATAGGGAGGAGGGCATCGTACCCGGACTCCTTTCTGTCTGGTCGGTGATTTACAGAGTTAAGAGCTTAGTGAAATTAGAACCTGTGTGCACACCCACAATTGCAATGTCCAGACGAAGTGCTGTTCACCCTCAACCGAGCATAATCGGGACGGTATTACGAATTGTTAGCAAAAAAGGGTGAAAGAAATGGCCTTGCTGAAAACAGGAGTGAGCCCCCTAACCGACGAAATCGCATGCATGAGAAGGCAAGGCAGTTTATCTTACGTTGCACACTTTGACGTCCACCATACAAAACACTCGGACAAATGTCAACTGTTACTCGACACGGTACTACGAGGATACTGTCAACCATACACGAATTGTTTGTAAAAAAAACTGGCACCTATTAAAAAACCCAACTAGAGTTGCTTAAGTAGAACTACAAAATAAAAAGTACCACTGAAATTAGGTTAAATTCCACAAACACACATTCTGATGACATTTAGCTGACGAGAAGAGTGGTGAGTTATCTGATAAATTGCGAAAAGGCTATGAAGCAAGAGGTGGACGAGGAGGGGAAGAATAAAAATGTTGAAAGGCTCCCGCGGTGTGTGCGGAACGCAGCAGCGCTGGGAGAGGTGGCAAAACTGACCACTCAGAGGAAAGAACAATCCCAAAAAAAGTGCACTTGTGCGAAATAACAGTAGACGAAACCAGGACGAAACAAAAACGCCACAAGCTGGTGCTTCATGTGCAACGGAACAGAGGATAATAGGAGGGACCTATGCCGAATTATTATCAAATTTCATTGCGGTGATACATTGGAAATTGGCGGCTATAGTAAAGGTGGGGTTCATTCATGTAGCGCGTGTCAGCCATTGGGTTCCTTCGAGGGAATGCTAGATAGAGGAAAGGAGATGAAGCTATATCTAGGGGCGTGGCCGTTCAGAAGTGGAATAACCCTAAAATTATAAATGCATTTCAGGAGCCAAAATGCAATCAACAAGGCTTCTTTGATGGCCCCTACTACAATTAATGCCCAGATAAAAAGAACTCACTGATATATGTATGCAAAAGAGATTAGGGCGTAAATTATTGATGACGTTGGTTTAAGCAATCAAGTAGCTCCTTCCACTAAGAAACGAGTTAAAAGAGACAAAATCATCAAAACGGCTGCTGGAGTGCTCCATATAGGTGTTGTTAATATGAAAAATGGAATGGACACAAAGGAGATTTTAAATCGGCATCCCGGCAAGCTTTGTAAACGACGTAATTAACTTTTCTTTCCTTCTTGATTACAATATTGTGACTGCGATCGCTTTGATCAATTCACTGGGCTTCCATCCGAGAAGTGCCTTTCTTTTTCGTTAATTCTAATCAGGACATTGTATTACAAAAGTTGTTGTGACTTTAATCACCCACCACAACGGATTTTGTGCTGATATTTTGGATGCCACCTTCTGCTTTAGGTAAGTGAAAAATGCATTTGTGGTAAACCTTCGAATATCAGAGAGAAGTGAAAAAACCCCGCTTATAACCAAGGCCTCTTGAAAAGGTAAAAGCTAACTTTTTGGCTCTAACATTGCATGACATAGCACTTCTAACCGGCTATCTGGTAGGCAAATTACATGCTGCATTTTGAGTGAGTTTCTTAAGTGTCAGTGAAACGAAGTGCCAGAAACATGGGACACTGTCTAGCCCAACCAGTCACTGCATACTCCTCGGTAGTATGCCCGAGGACCACATTGTTCCCTCGCATATGTTTTGTGCTTGATGAGACAACAAAAAGTGTAGCAGGAGGAAATGACATCTCCTGTCAAAATCAATAATAAGGCACAGAGGAAGCTGCCTCAAGAATTGACATATACGTCGGTGAGTCAGCGCAATTATTTAAGTTATGAAAAATGGAATTTTAAAATTATCAGCTGGCAAATTTTGCTGACAACTGTGGAGATATCGAAAGGGAGCAAGGGAAAACAAACAAAGCAGTCAGTTGACAGACAGACGAACGAAAGCGACAGCTGACACAAAACGGAATAAATGAAAGCGCATCGAAGGGAGAAGGTGAGCGAGAGAGAGAGAGAAAAAAAACGATGCTGAGCACTCTCAACTGCAACCACCAAGAAAATTTTAACACCACTTCGGTAGTGGTATCACATACCTCCTAGAGAATGGCGACAGTAAAAAATTGTCATCTAATATCACCAAAGGTACATCAAAACAAGTAGTGCAAAAGTCGAATGGCACTTAGATACTAAGTGAAGTTTGCTTTACGTGCAGCATTACCATTAATGGCAGTATTTATTGCATTTGACTTGATGACTTTGTTTATGCTGTTACTCCGTGCAACAAAATTAGTTTTCGTGTGAAACTGAAGATTGAAAGACGCATGAGAGCTAAAAGTTTGTCGCTTCGTGTGCTTTTATGTGTGAATGAGGCAGATGGCATTCGTTAAAATGGTTTAAGAGCAGTTCTACATCTGTACCTGTGAATGAAATATTATTCATTGACACAAAGTAGTAGTAGTAGTAGTAGTGCATTTAGAAAGGGTGAAAAAACAGTTTTAAGTAATATAAGTGATGCACACATTACTGCCTGCTCTGTCCGTGGCCTAGAGGTAAGTCTATTAATGATGGATGCATCCATGCCTTCAGCAATTAAGTCAGTGCAGCTGTAAATGTACTTGAGAGTTGGCACGTCCCTTCTGACTGTAGTTTGACCTAAGCTATGCCAGCCAAGTACGGATAGTAAAGATTTCCGAGATAGCTAGCTGCGCATTTATACTGCCATCGAAAGCACTAGGTTTCGCATGCTTGTTGCAGATCGTTAGATTGCTATCTTCGGAAAAGATTTCAACGCAAGCTTCGTCTGAACTGCAAAATTGTTGCGCTGAAAGCAAGGACCCCGTCGAAAAGGGCAGCCGATCTCCATTAAAACTAATACTTTTGAACGACAAAAATTCGTCTAGGAGCCGAAGTAATAGTGAAAGGTACTCTGTCAACCTTTGTTGCCCACAGCCATTAAAGAGTTTCAAGTATTGTAGGGAGGAAAGCAGAAACCTGATCTGAGCTGGATCAGACTAGGCACTTCTGGATCATGCGTAAAATATAGAGCGATTAAAATGTCTTAGGTAGAGGGAAATGTTCCGGTACTCCTTAGACATGTACAGCTATAGAATACTCAATGACGTTGAGAGCCGCATAAATGTGCTCGTCTTAGAGACGTTAAACTGTAAAAATGAACGAGCTTACCACCAATCTCATACCGTATGATTGCTTCTGTAGCTATATAAATTTTCTAAAGCAGAATGCAAGTGCCACATTTAGTGAGAATGAGATTTACTCGAAACAATGCACTTAGCAATCGACAGTGAAGGTACCACAGGACAACCGCCGCTTGATGAAACGTAAATGATAGAGATGGTAAAGGTAAAGGTCACCTCAATCCTTGGAAATTATCACTAGGTGAATTTACTGAGAAAACCCTTAAGCATTAATTCAGGTGGGCGAAAAATCGAAATTCAGTTAACTATTTTCCTCCACTAAGCGGACGATTTTTTGTCCTCAATGTTAATGATGGTTGGCCAAAATACTATTTCGTTTCATTTCCAAGTAAAGGAAGTTAAAATACAGGCCTTTGGCGCGCACACACACGCGCATGCAAGCAGAGACTATTCATTTATTTTTTCCTATCCTTTTCCCAACTCGGTGATGTGTGTCTTTCCTCAACATCCCCACTCCCTCATTTACTCTCCTTTGTTGTTGCGTATTCTTCTCCTTCTTCTTCCTTTCCTTCTGCTCCTCCTCCTCCTGCTCCTCCTCCTCCTCTTTCTCCTGCGCCTCCTCCACCTTCTCCTCTTCTTCTTATTCGTTGAGACAGCAAAAGAAAAACGGACAAGTAGGTAGGCGTACTGGTGGCCAGTTGCTATCTTCTACTTGACGAAATTTTTTCCTCCGGTTACTCGATGGGGAAAATTTTTTGCGTTTAAAAACGTACACTTGCACGTACACACTTAACCCGCTTTGAATTATCCTCCTCATTCGGAGCATTTGTGCTAATTTTCCACACATTGCCTACCAAACCAATCCTCTTCACATGGAATTTTTACATTGGCCAATACAGACCGAATTACAATAATCATTATTCATCCCCAGCAATTAAAAATGGGGGAAAAATTTGCAATAAGAGAGTAGTTTTGCCAAATACTAGTACAACAAGGATGGGGGTGATAAAACTCAGAAGGATAAAAATGAATTTACTATCAACCTGTGGAAGTAAGGATTCGCAATTGTTGAAGTACTCGAAGAAAAATATACTAAATTGAAGCATTGTCCCATTGCATCATGATGAAAGAGAATGGGTGACAATTTTTAGGCTACTTTGAGGACAGTTGATCATATGAACTTATGCAACTTCAAACAAATTCTCTCAAAGCCTTCACCATGTTTGGCATCTTATTGTGATCAAGTGATCTTAAAAATGTCGCATTTCATATTTTCATCCGAGCGAAAGCGTTTGGGAATAGGCGGGATGTAATGTTGTTAAATTGCCGTGGTTCACAAAAGTAGGCATTTTGGATGCACCCACCTCAATCGGCGTTTTTACATCCGAATTTCCAATTGACAAACTTGGAAGCATAAAAAAATAACACGGTTTCTACCCATTTATTATAAAAACTGATAGGTTGATTAAGGCGAATGGACCCAACTATTGCATTAGTATGAGTCAAAATTCAACTTGGATTGTCAGTTTTCCTAATGAAATTCAGCGTAATCCTAACGTATCCTTTTACGTAAGGAAAGTATGGAAATAAAGCAGTTAAAATATACTCACGGTAGTGATTCGGACTTCCCAGACTGGGGGTTGAGGGCGGAATGCAAAAGAAGGTTTCGCGACGTCGCCGAAAGAAGTGAAGAAGAGGAGTTGAAGAAAGACGGAATGAGTGGAAGAGACGGGGTTTGGGTTGGCGATGGCACGGATAAGTTAAGAGCTGATGTAGATGTGCTGTTGGAATCACTCTGTGGCGGAGTCTGTCTCTCGTCCGACTTAAGAGATGGGGGCTCTTCACCGCCACTGTTCTCATCTCCGTTTTCAAGTTCATTAAATACTCGAGAAACTGCACTGAGCTTGGTTATACAAGTACGCAGATAGTCGGATATAAATAACTGTTGATTTAGAGTTGTCTGCAAGCGGTCAATGGAGGCGGAAACTTCTGATTGAGCGACTTCAAGGGCCATACGCTGTTCATTTACTGTGAGAAATTGATCCGCCTTCAAACACTCAAGTTGAGGAAGAGAATCCATCGAACATGGAAACTTGCTGGACCATAGCTGGAGGAAATTGGCGTGTAAGTTCATGACTAATAATTTAAAGGAAAAGCAGAACTATTAAGAAAATATCAAGCCAAGCAAAATTGTGAAGTGGTCCCATTTTAAAACTAAGTTTTATCCGAGTGACTTATCTACAACAATCACAAATCTGTCCTTGAAACATCTTGGAAACAGGCATCCATCAGCGACACTACAGTGCAGTTGTGTATACTTTAGAATATGATCCCGGAAAAACAAGGGCACCCACAAATGTAGTTGGTTCAATTTAGTATAGAGTTTTACTAAAAGTCGATGAGGCATTCACGTTAGCTGCTTACAAAAGCGTGTGCACAAATCGATAAAATCGAACCAGATAACATTTAAACATACTTGAGTGAGTGTTTTATTTAAAGGAGTGCGTAAATTTTGGCATTGGGAAGTCTCGTGGACGATCTTGTGCTGGGTAAAACGAATAATGTGAAGCGATAACGACAAATCTCATAATTGAACTATCATCTCGAGAAATAGCCAATCAAAACGAAGTTAGTGACCTAATCTTTAGCCAATCGTGCTTGCTATTGTACAAGCAAGACGAGTAACTTAAACAAATTAGGGCAAAAGCTTGTGTGTCAAATGATTAGCATATTAATGATAAAATTTTTATTTTTGTAAACTTAATAATATTATTGATTGATGGTGCATTTGATATCATTATTTTTTAATTAAATATTCGTTCTCTCAAATGCAAGATTAGGTTGGCGCTTCTTCATTGTACCCTTATAATGCCACAAGTGCGACAGCAGTGCAGAGGCGCTATCACCATAAATTATAAAATTCATGTCTGCAAAATCCGGAGGTCAATTTGATCCGAGTCAGCACGGTATAATGTGACCAGTGTTTCCCGTGGGTATGGTTCTTTGACCCGATAGGGCTTTATTTCTAGAAACATTAACTTAGAATTGATCTGCCTGTTCTTGCTGTAATATATATTAGCTTGTTTAAGTGACCTTTTATAGGTGAGGGGCGGGAACCAATTGGGAACGCAAATCTGCATCCTGTTTCCCATCCTTCCCAATAACAAATGCCCAATAAATCATCCTCAACCATCTGTCTCTTGAAGTCTGAGGTTCAGGTACCAGAGAGTAGGCAGGCAGCTCTTACACTTGCAACCACTATTATGACGTCAATATCTTATTACTTATGCAGCGCCTTAGGATTTGGTTGCGGATAATAGAAGGTAAATTTCTAAATTGAATGCACATTTTGTTGCAAAGTGGAGAGGAAATGGGCTTTGACATCGTCGTAAGTACATTATACCTGGAGAAGGATGTAGCAAGACTTCATAGCCATTATAAGAAGCCGGTAAGTGCAGCTGAATACATGTATTCTGACGACAACAGAGCAAATGGCCCGAAGACCTTTAAACGTCATGTGGTCACACAAACAAAGTATTACAGAGGAAATATAGTTACTTAAGTGAACTGATGTCTAAAGGTTACTTTGAGACTCATCTTGCCCTTGTAGGCGTAAGCTGGCCTTCGGTCCATGCAAAGGTCCAGTCCCTTCATGTTCTCCTTGAATGCATGCATTCAATCCAATTTAGAATCTTCTTATATTTAGTGAGAAGTCTAGGACCGCCTAGCGGCGGCAGCGGACAGCAAACTCAACACAATTTAATGACTTTATTTTAGTACCCACCGTGTGCGGAGGGAGCGTATTTACCTCGGATGGGGGATTCTTTGAACTCTTAACAACAGAAGGATTATGAATGTTGGATACGTTTAGCTCCACTATCATGATATGTTTCATGTTGAAATTATCCTTACTTTAGCCATTTATAGTTGTCGAAAGTGACATTACCCTAAATATTCTTTCATACAGGAATGTGTTTGATCCTGTTATCCCTGCTAAACACCTATTTTGGACCAGGCTTCCAATGTCTAGTCCCAGGAGCAACTGGTTGTAAGCAGATGTGTGCAGCCTTGATTCCTGCTGATGGACCGAACCTAACCCCAGATCCGGTTGAAGTTGCTGAGAAGTTCAAGTGCAATTTTACAGTCTCATGGTAGCTGACAATTGAAGTGCCAAACTCGTGGGTGTTTCCCTATGGCAGTGGATGCGTTGTGATGTCTGACACTGGAGGTATACCAAGGGAAGGCACTGTGTAATACTTTATTAGGCCAACTGATGCCTGGCTAGTACTCTGGTATTCGTTTTGCTCTTTTATGCGTGGACTGGCCTTCACTCCAAGCCGAGGTCCAATCCCTTCTTATTCTCATAAAACGCATGTATTTGGCTAAACTGAAAGCCCTCTTCCGCCTAGCGGTAAGCTTTAGGATGCAACAGCCACTATCCCAACAGTCGAACACGAAAAGTATTACGTAGCCTCTCTCCCCTTTTAGCGGCTTCTACTTTGTTCTCCTTGATATGTCACCTACTTTAGTTCTCACGACAGAAAAACGCCTACAAATTAGCTGTACTGGTCAACAAATCCGATGCGACTAATGGACTGAATTTGCTCCAGCTTCACTAACAACACTCAGTACATTTAACGAAACCTGGGGATTTCGATGACCGTCATATAGGCTTAGTGCTTGAAGTTGGTGTACTGCTCTTTTTAAAAGACCACCTGACGTTTGGGAGTCACTTCAGTATTTATCTGGCCCTTATACTCGTGGACTGGCCTTCGGGCTATGCTCAGACCTAGTTGCCTTGTCCTCTTTGGCATATACGTATCCAGCTCCACTTACTGCCTTCCTTTACCCGGTGGGAAGTCTCGGTACGCTACAGTTGGAAGGCCGGGTTATGTTATTTAACATTTATAAAGTCCAACGTGGGAACCTTCGCTGACTAATGATTGCAAATATTAATGGCAAACAAATGACATGGCCTCCTAAACTGACACAAACTTTGGATATTATGTATGATCAATCAAAATGCAAATGAGCTCAAGTATTCGGGAGTGCTACGGCACTCGAATAGGATGTATCCACAATTGAGGGCTTCTATCAGCCTCATGAGAACATCTTACATGCCGACGAGGTAGAGATAATGCCTTTGCGGGGGAGGGAAGGTGAGCATCTCTCTGAGAGCTCATAATTCCGCCATATGATCCCGTACACGCACATATTTAAGCAAGGCTCAATTTATGTGACGTGATGTCTGGTGGTTACTTCAAGATTCGTCTGGCTCTAGTGCGCGTGGGCTGGTCTTCTGGTCAAGCTCGGACTTAGTCCATTTGTTCCCCCTAGAATACATGTATTTGATTCCACTTTACGTCTTCTTCTACTCCGTGGGAAGTCTTGGGATGCTACATACCCTCCAAATCTGCAAGTGGCGAAAACCAAACAGTATAAATTAAGCATTCCAAATAATGGGTGTTGGGTACTAACCTTCGAAGCAATAGAGGGTCGAAGAGGTAACGGTTAAAACTTTCTTCGTTCGACTGCGCTTAAAATTTAAAATGAGGACAGAGTTGAGCAATTTTGAAGACATCATATTATGAGCAAATAGCTTAGAACATGAGAAGCAATCCGCACTCGGTTTAAAGGCGGTTTTCGACACGAAATAATGAAAACAGTCCGTCTAGAATAGTCCTTTTGATGTCCACGGAGGAAGACCTTACCATTGTGACTCAGTAGCATGAGGCAACAAAGTAGGTTCCTGCTTTGAATCCAAAATTGACAAACACGATCATTTTCATTCGACTTCTGATAAATGGGTTGTTAGCATATATTATCGGTGTCGACACATTAAAGACAAAGACTTAAAAGACAGTTCATGTGACATTAAGTGCGATTTTAGCTGAGTAATTAGTCTAATGGCCTTGATAACACAAAACAAATTAATGTTTGTCATCAGGTCCCGATTTCTATACCTTGCGAGCCTTTACTATTGATGATACTGTTTTGGATGATGAGCATTAACCAACCAACCAGCCAAAGAAGGACTGCTCACAAAGCAGTGTCATAAAAGAGGGCACCAGAAATTCCTTGTCGTGCAACCTCGTTCAACTATGAAGAAACATAATGATATGAAAACACCACCGTAATTCCATTTTGTTTCATTATTCCATCCAACCATTCATTTATAGGACACCCCTATTTGATCCATTCACGTCGCGGGGATGTATCCCGGCGTGCCTTACTTGCCGCCTACAATGACACCTAATAGATCACAAAGGCAGCTCAATGTCGCCAGATTCTGATGAGAAAGTACGCCAGAACCAGGGGGTCAAACATGTGCCATATCAAACATAGAGGAGGCTCACATTTATGCCCGTCAGATACTCTAGTAAGCAAATATGGAACACTGCGAAGTATGTGTCTGATAAGTAACAAGAAAACAAAAATGGGAGTCTGTTGCCTAAGGCGTCGCATCAAGCGTCGATTTTCTAGTCCACCTCCTAAAGAATACGTGGGTTGACTTTAATTCTACAGTCAAGATACTTGTCAAACCCTTTTTTTGACTTATTTCTCGAAGTTGCTTTTTACTTTCAAACCCAGATAAACTAAGCCAGAGCGATGTGATGTTTGAGAAGTAGTTTTGGGCCTAATTGGGCCGCATCGACTTCAACCTTAAAGCCCAGGAATCAACAAGAATCGATTGCAAAAAATTTATTTTGCTGTTAACAAAAAGTTTGCATAGCGAGCACAGAGGAAGAGGGTGAGAATTTGATATCGACAAAAAGTCAGTCAGGCTGTTTAAACAGTTTTTTGTTTGGTTGGAAATGGGTAAGCATGTGCACCTCAACAATGTCTAAGATTGTAATATGAAGATTTGCGAATGGCCAACCTATTACTATTAGTCTTCTGATAATTAAACTTAGATCGGAGCACTTAGACGCCTGGAAGTCTCCTTTCACCTCATCATATTTGCACTCACTTGGTACAGGCATACGAACAACTAGGATACGCAGGAGATTGAATGGTGCCGTATGATCCAAGCGATGTGTACCAGCATTCTCCCCTCATCCAGTGCGTGATTTATTTCTGCTGCACTTGACCTGCCCGCCGCAAACTCAGGACAACTCATCACACAGCGATGGC